AAATAAAAAAAAAAATAAAAAAAAAAACCTAAACAACTACATAAATTCAGATGTTTTTTCATTATTACAGTATTAATAGTTGTCATTGCAGCAATATCAATACAAAATTAGGGATTTGTAGACTAACTAGAAAAAAATCTCCCTTTAAGATAGAGATTCTTACTTTGGGTTCTGCGACTAGACTTCAGGAGGTATATGATAGCCCTGAAATTGTATGCTAAGTGTTGTTTTGTTGTGCATTTTCTTTGAAAGAAAGTCCATAGTTTTCATCAAATTCTCAAAGATTAAGAACTACTACTCAGAGTGTTCTTTGTAGAAGTCTTTATAAGTAAGGTCAAGAGATGCTTTGTCAGCCAGCTGCCACTAGGGCTTCCCTTAGTAGCCATAGAGCTCCACTTCTTCCTGGAGACATTGAGGCCTCTGGATTTTTTCAGAGCTCTGTCCTGGTTAAATTCAACTTTCAAGATTCTCTTGGTCTAGTTATTGAGAGTGAGAAAGTTCAGATATATACTCTTCTTCCTTTGACAAACTTTCTGAGGCCTTTCTGGGCTCTCGATTTCCATTCCCAGGGTCTAGTTGTATTGCTTAAATATCTACTGCTTCCTTAATTTTCTTAGGCTCAAGATTCCTTCTTGGCTTGATTTTTTGGTACTCTGGCACACTCAAAGGGCATTTCTACTAGACCATGCCGCAAAGCCTTATTCTTCTTATCTGTGTGGCTTTAGCATCTTCCCCCTATTCCTTGTGACCTTTACAAACTGAATTGAACCTAGTTTCATTAGCCCTCAGCTAAAGTTTTATTTTGTTTTAATTTATTTTATTTTAGAGATAGAGAGCACGAGGAGGGGAGAGGGGCAAAGGGAGAGAGGGAGAGAATCTCAAGCAGCTCCGTGCTCAGTGCGGAGCCTATGTAGGGCTCAGTCTCACGACTGTGAGATCATGACCTGAACCAAAATCAAGTCGGACACTTAACTAGCTGAGACACCCAAGCACCCCTAAAGCTTTATTTTGTGAGTCTATGACAATAAGAGACCTCTAAAAACAAAAGACAGGGGCATTTGGGTGGCTCAGTTGGTTAAGTGTTGGACTTTGGCTCAGGTCATGATCTCATGGTTCATGAGTTCAAGCCCCACGTTGGACTCTGTGCTGACAGCTCAGAGCCTGGAGCCTGCTTCAGATTCTGTGTCTCCTTCTCTCTCTGCCCTTCCCCCACTTGTGCGCGCTCTCTCTCTCTCTCTCTCTCTCTCTCTCTCTCTCTCAAAAATAAATAAACATTAAAAAAAAAAGACAGGAAGGAGGTGGCTAACTTTAAGGAGCCATGAAAAATGTCATACATAGAAAGGCATGCTGGGAATGCATGGTGTAAAGGAGAGGGATAAATCAAGAACAGAATGAAATTGCATAGAAAAAAAGTAACTGGGGAAATACAAACCACACATTGCATGGTCAAAATACATTGAAGTAATATCTGGTCTGGGAATATTGTCTAAGGCATTCAAGCTGAAGGGAATCAGGGCTTAGTAGTTATTTCTCAGCAGTAGTTCTTGTATGAGATGGATTGCTCAGGTCTAAGATCCAAGAGTTACTTTTCAATTGGAATCACAGTCAAACTCTGGGAAGATGAGGCTGGTAGGAATTGGATAAGAGTGCTATATACCCAGATAAATTAAGGCTAAGCTCTAGCCCCACCTGAGAAATAGAGTAAAACCCAGAAAGAAGTATTGAAAAGTGGTCCATGTGTGGTGGGGATGAATAGAGAGGCTGAAACTTGCTTACACAGGTCCTAAGGGTCTTGGTTCCACCAGAGAGACTGTGTCCATAGTCTCTCATGAATGGGATGAGAGCTTCTTGAATGTGGCCACAACCTGATGCCATTGGCTTGGCCCCACTGGAGCTGAGCCTAGGGTACCCAGTTATTGTTTGCTGGCAGCTGTGGAGATGTTAGAGCTGACAAGGATTTAGAGAGAGCTGGGAAAGACTTGCTAACCACTATGTTGGGTCTGTCAGGGCAAGGAAGTGGAGAGACAAGAAGAGATGGAGACAAGTCAGGGCTCAGGGGTCAGAGACCAATGTTGGCTATTTCCTATCTAAGCCCTAACTCACTCAGTTTCTCTTTTCTTTGGCAGCCCTCTCTGGGAGATGGTACAGGATGGCATTGACCTCAAGAGCATCAAGTGGACACAACACTAGAAGAGTAGGCCTCTGACTTTGTGCTGACCTGGCTTCTGCCTCATCAACCCATGCTAACCTGGGTATCTTGTTACACCCAGTGGACGCTTCATGTTCAAACCACAATTGGTGTAGCCCAGTTGACTTCAGCATTTGTCCACCTCCAAGATAGAAACAACAAGAAAACTATCTTTCCTGAGCCTCAGCTCCTTTGTTGGAGAACACTCAACATTTCTCTTCAGGAGTCCTTCTCTGGTCTTACAGTGAATGGATATTCTTGGTGGGGAGAGCCAGAGGAACTGGAAGAAGTTTCTTTGTTCAGGGGCCTCAGTGATCTGTGTGGACTTTTGAATGTTGCTTACTACTGCTCAGCAAGACTGACTCCTTCAGGAGCAAGCATAATCAACTATTTAATTTCTTTTTTGGTCCCAAACGCCACCTCTTCATGTTGTAGACGGAACAGCAAGTTTCTTAGAAGGCTTGTCTCCTGTTCTTGTCCTTCATTTCTTTTGACCTAATGAAGCTAAAAATATCTATATGCCTCCATCTACTCTTCTAATAATTTATGTTTCTTTTTTAAAAATTGTTAATTTGCAGATTAGAGAAATAAAATAACCTTCCTCTATTTAATTTGTGACTTTATGAAAGTCTCAGGGAAAATTCAATGCTGTGCTTGGGAATCATGGAGCAGACTACCACTCCACTTGATTTCCATAGATGACTGTCTGCTTGTATAGCTCTTCATTCATCAGTTATGTGAGTGGCTGTCAGGAGCCTAACATTCTTCTGAGTATTGGACCAAAAGACCCTGCCCTCATTGAGCTTTCATTCTAGTAGAGAAACAAAAAATAAATAAACAAATAAAGCTATTATTGATTGTGATGGGTGCTATAGAAGAAATATAATGGTAAGAGGAAATAACAGGGAGAAACTACTATGCTAGGTATGCTAGGAAACCTTTTTTAAGGAGTGTTACTTAAGCAAAAACCTGATTTCCAGCCATGAAAGAGCTAGAGATGAATGAGAAATTAGAAGCAACTGGAAGAGCAAAGGGCCTGAGGTATGAAAAAGCATGATGTGTTTGAGAAACCTGTAGAGGGCAAATGCAGTTTCCATCTGTGGGTCTGACACTGTAGGTGGATAGTTACCAGCACTAAAAAATCAAGAGAAAAAATAGATTACATTGGCATATTTTAAGTATTTTTTTGTTTTTTACTTTTTAAAAAAAGTTTATTTATTTTTAAGTAATCTCTACACCCATGTGGGGCTAGAAATACAACCCGGAGATCAATAGTCTCATGCTCATGACTGAGCCAGCCTGGTAACCCTTAAGTATTTTATTTATATTATATATTTGAATGTGTATACCTGGTTGCAAATGTATTATGTGAGTGATGGTCAAAAAAGTTTGAAAGCTACTAGCTAGAAGTATGGTAAATACAGGTAGACAGGAGGAGGAAAATTTTAAATAAATTTTTCACTATGAATAATTTCTTTAAAGTTTATTTATTTTGAGAGAGAGCACTCAAACGAAGGAGAGGCAGAGAGAGAGAGAATCCCAAGCAGGCTTCACACTGTCAGCACAAAGCCTGACACATGGCTCAATCTCACAAACTCTGAGATCTTGACCCAGGCCAAAATGAAGAGTCTGGTGCTTACGTGATTGAGCTACCCAGGAGACACTATTTTGAATAGTTTTAGATTTAGAGAAAGTTTGCAAAGATAGTACAGTTAGATGTCCATTACCCAATATCCTCTAATTTTAACATCTAGTATAAAACTTGGCATATTTGTCAAAACTAAGGGATTATTAACATCTGTACATTAGTATTAACTAAACTTCAGATTTTATTCAGATTTCACCAACTTTCCCACTAATGCCCTATTTCTATTCCAGAAACCAATTCTGGATACCATATTGCATTTAGTAGGTTTCATTTTTAATGCACTATATTATAGCTACAAAGAGGATATATAATGAAAAATAGGTTTGGTTTAAAAGTGAGACAGAGTTTTCTAATTTGTGTTTTTGGCATACTGAGCTAGCACCAGGCAAGTTTGCCACGCAAATCTTCCCAAAAGCTTGTTGGAGCTGTGGAAATACAGTCCCTGATTTTTTTACTCAGTTGACTTCTCACTTGCTGATTTGGAAGATTAGTTCAATTTTGGTAATAGTCATCATGTTGAAAACTAGCCTCTGTACTCCAGAGCTGTAATATAACAGGAAGACAGAGTTTGGGGATAAAGAGGAAAGGTAGTTTTATTACTTCCAGGCAAAGGAGGCTGCAGCAGACTTAATGCCTTCAAAACTGCAGACCCACTCTGGATAAAAGGCTAAGGAGTTTTATAGGAAAATACAGGATCTGGGTGGTTTGGATAGGAACCTGGTAGCACTTGAGCCGTATTGGTTAGGTCTTCATCGTGGTCTCATGACTAGCGCTGGCAATGGCCATCTGAGTCTCATTACTAGACATACATTGAGGTAAGCGAGAGGTCAACATTGATGCGGAGTTCCTGGAACAAATGATTCTACCAAAACAAAAAAACAAAAAACAAACAAAAAACCAAAACAAAACAAAAAGAGGGTAGGCAGAAGCTTTAAGAATGAGGAAGAGAGGGAAAATATTGTTCAAAGTCAAATCTTGCTGAAGCATGAATGTATCCATCTTAATTTCTATCCATCTTTACATTTCTATAATGGTTTCAATCACGATAATTGAGTATAGGCAGGGGGAGTGCACAGCATGAGAATAATTTTTTCTATAATATAGTAATACTAAATACTAAATACAATACTTAATACTAAGATGCAGTCCGTTAATGAACACTAGTGGGTAAGGCTCCCTGGATTTACATTTTTAACTGGGAAAAAAAAATTAGGTTTTGGTTCTTTTGTTAGGGCATCGCCAACAGAACCGGGCACTACTTTGTGGTCCATTTCATCCTCGACACACTGCGCGAAGAAGGCATTATTTCTTCTCTTAATAAGAAGTGAAGCAATTTGCACAACGTTCCGCAGTGAACGGACCACCCAGGTACTCTTCCCCATCTCACCGAGCAGCGCCTTTCTCCTAAGGCGGGGCTAGTGCGCAAACGTCGTACGTACGTCCTCAAAGCTCCTCTCGCCACAAATACCCGCAACTTCCGGGAGATTGCTCAAGAACCTCCCGGCGCTTGCGCCGCGCCGCCCCGTGATGTCACCACTCCGTCCCGCCCCTGCTGGAACGCGGAGCTGCCGAGCGGGCTGTCGGCCATTTTGTGAAGCGGCGAAAGAGGTGGTGGCTGCTGTGGGCTCCGGGAAGCCGTTCGGGCTGGGGCTGTCGGCCGCGGGGCGGAGGCACTCGCGCGGGGGGTAACTCGGGTCTGGGTTCGGGTGCCGCGCAGCTCTCCCCGGTAAGACTCCCGCAGCCCGGAACGGGCGGGGCTGTGCGGGGCTCGAGCCGCCCCTTGGTGGCCCGGGGCGGGGCCTTCGGAGGCCTCCGAGCCCGCCGCAGCGAGCGCCCCACACAAAAGGGTCGCGGCATGGCTGCGGGGGCTTGGGGCGCCGTGTGCGCCTTTGAAGCCTGAGAGGATGCAGGAAGGACGCAAGAGAGGATAAGCCTGCATACCGAAGTGGGGACGAGGCCATAGTGAGGACGCCCCCGTGGTCTGAGGGAGGAGGCCACAGCTGGGTGGCCCAGCGGCCTGAGAACTAACGGGGATTGCAGTGAAAACACACCTACATCCCGAATGAGCCAGATTTTCTGCGCCTCCCAAAAGAGACAGAGATTGTAACTCCATCTCTGTGTCCCGAACTGAGGAGATAAACGTAGTGAGGACACTCCCTTCTTCCGAAGTGGAAAGGAGGCCCCGGTGGCCTAACAGGAAAAGGGGACTACAGTCAGGACACATCTATGGGGAGGAAGCTGTAGTCGTTACACTCCTCTGAGTCTAGGAAGGAAGTCAAAACTGGTCGCCTTCGTGGCCTGAAGGTGGAGGGGGTTGCAGGGAAATGCTTCCCAGGTTCAGCGCTGGGCGGGGCTTACCCTCGAGGGTGTCGGCGATTTGAGAAGCCGGCCTCTGTAGCGAGAAAAGTGGGGGTGAGTACGCCTCCCAGGCCTCTGAGAATTGTAGTGAGGTACCAGATCTTTGGTCCCCAAGTAGGGAAGGGGCTGCAGTGAGGACCACCTTTACATATCCCTTGGGAGAGAGCCTCCCGCTCTGAAAGAGGAGGAGGTGCAATAGAATGTGGAGGTTGGGTGCTTTTGATGAGTGAGTTGAGTTTGTCTAGCGGAAGCTGGAGGTGCTAGTTGGCAGCCACGTGAAATAGATGGGAGGGGCTTTGAGGATCTACAGGTTAGTGTTGGGGTTGGATACCAGTGCAGGAGGCTTAGCTGCCAGATTGCAAATGCATGGACTTTATGTGTGCCTGTAATGTGTGCTTTATAGTGAAAAATCTAAGCGGCTACGGTGAAGGTTACTTTCGGTTATTCAGCACAAAACATGCTGGGAGTTTTGTATACTGTGTTGCAGGCTCAGTAGGAGAGGTTTCTGGACCCTAGAACCGTCCTATAAAACCCTGGATTTCCAGAGGTGACCTAATGTAAATTGTGGTAGTTGTTCGGAACCATTCTGTATTATTCAAGAATAGTGTAATTCCGCTTAATATAACCCGAGAGAAAAAGTAATTGCAACTGAAGGACTGTTGAAGGAGAGACTTATGACTGGAGTATTTCTCTTACAGCTTCTTGATTGAATGGTTTAAAATGGTGTGATTTTTGTAAAATGCAGTGTTAGTAACATGTATTGCCTTGGACTTTGTAATCTAGTTTGTATTGTTAATGTATTTCAGAGCGTTTGCAGTTGAAAAGTGTCCTACAAGTCTGCACATACAGGCTTATTGTTTCGTGTTTGTTTGTTTGTTTAATTACAGAAATATACAAGACTGGGTTGTACTTGTTTTTGAAATTTGGTGGTTTTGAACGAAAGGAGGATTTCTGGACTTTGTGGGAAGTAATTGTGTTCAGGCATCTTCCAAGATTATAAAAAGTTGAAAGAACTGTTACAGGTGGTTATAATAATTTTATGGTAATTTTTTAAGAAAATGAAATGTTTGCCCTGTTTGTATAAAGGTTGAGGGATGTGCTCAGTATTATTACTGGAAATTTTTTTTAACGTAACAGGGAATGCATTTATATTATCTTTATATGCTCAATTAAGTATTTTATGGATTGTAACGCATCATTTGTATTTT